AACACTAGATTACTTGTAAATAACTTAATTACGGAAAGAAATAAGCAACTGAACTGAACAATTCTATTTTAGCACCTTCATTTTCTCGTTCCCTAAGAAGTAGAGCACATTTCACTGTGAGTACCAGTGCTTCAGGAACCAGAAAGCATTCTGACCAATCTGAAAGAAACTGCCCTTTCCCAAATTCTAATCACGAAAACGAAAAATATGACAAAACAAAACTTACAAGATTTCAAAAATGGCCCAGAAGAAGAGAAAAATGTAACTATTTCATACTCCAGTTAAATGTCTGGCCACGTGTCAAAACAGATTCATTCCAATGAGATCCAGATTTCATCCCAAGAGCAATTAAATTCTCAGCAAAGCAGTTAAAACCCATCTGTCTCTTCAAGCCAGATTTCAATTATTATTCAGTAATCCTATGTCCTTATAATTACATTGATGCTCACTCTGCATATACCCAAAATACTGGCTTTTTTTATTTCAATAAGAACTAACATAGCACAAAAATTCATGTTTTCCTGGAGCCCACAGTAAAAAAGGGTCAGAAAACTCCATCTCTTTTGCATTTTTGTAAGACAGGGTCTTGATACGACCTGATAATACAGGGAACACTCGTAAAAGTTTCCTGTCTAAACCTATTTGACCAAATGAAATCGTTTTAAGAGAAAAGAGAAAAAAACCCTAGAGAACAACTTGTTCTCTAGAGAATATTAAAGAAAGAACTAGTGAAATATTTTCAGTTTAAATTTTTACTTCTTGCAGACCATTAAGCACTAGAATAGTTTAAAAACAAGCACATACTTCAGCAGACTAACAGCTCTCTTATCTATCCTACTCTAAATGTAAATAAGGACTTGCACTTTCCAAAAATATTCAAAGCTTCACTCTGAACAAACAAGTATTAAAGCCCATGTTTCTCATGTGTCTACTTAATGCAATGGACAGGAGCAAACACAACAGCTCAAATCTCACTACAACAAGAGAGTGTTTCATTACAGTTAAGCAAAGGAGCCACAAGACTCCAGTCGGGATGCAGGTTTTGGGCTACACTGCTTATGTGTTTGGGGAACTGCATTTCCAGAAACTAAGGAAAATAAAAGTCTAGCAAGGTTGATGTATTAGACTACAGCCCAAGTCCCCATTCCAAGAAACAGAAAAAAAACAAGTCTATGTTTCCTGCGCTCTGAAGTAAAATTACTTCAGTCCTAAGCAGCCATTTCCACGATCACAGCAGAAATCAGACACAGTCCTGCAGATGTGTAACTACCAGACATCTACTGAGGGACTGCCAGCCCTCTCCACTGCTAACTGAGTAGGCAAGCAAAATACTAACAGTCTCCTCCTTCAGTGAAAGAGAACTCATCTACAGGAACTACAAAACTCAATCACTGGTTTCAGCTTGGCTCTGTAAATTGCAAAGTTTTGGTTTTGCAATAATTACAATCGTAAGCAAAATCCAAACTTAGAGACACAGCAAATGTGTAAATCCCCATTAAGGTTTGTTATTTCATTGGGTTTTTCCCTTTTTTTCTGTCATGTAACTTCTTATTTCGTTTCAAGGCTTTTTTGCTTTTAATTATGATGTAAGTTTCACTTCTGACTACTCATTCAGTGCCTGTGAAATGAACCTCACATTGCTAAGCAGTTTTCTGTCACACAACAGTGGAGCAGTTGGGTGTTACAGTCAGTGGCTGAAACACAGGACAGGAGCAAACAGCACAGCAAAACATGAGCGAGAGTACGTATAGACAAATATTGGTTTTGTTGCTAATTTACAGAGTCGTCAACTGCTCTGCTAATCATCAGTCCTCTCACACAGAACTGAGAAGGAACAGCATCAGTGATTTGGTGCTCAGCAGCAAAGACCAGCTGATGAAAAGGGTATAAGGAATACCAACGAAATCAATGCTTAGAAATCTGAAAGGAGTCCAGCAGTTAGCAAGTTAACCAATTCCCTTGTTGCCCTCAAAACTGGAAATAGAACAGTGGGGATAGTGAAATAAGTTATTTTTTATTACATAATTAGAAATAATAAAAATGTTTTCACCCTCACAAAATATCCACACATTTCCACCCAAGCTGTTAAGTCCCCACAGCATCACCTTATGATATTATTTATATTCGTATAACTTTTAAACCTCTAACACTGGATTGCACATTTTCTTCACATCTGTTCACTCAGTTAGTGAAGAACAGAAGGACTGCCCTAAAAGAGGCCGAATTTATTTTGTTCTTTCCCCACTGTGTCCTTAAAACCAAGATGTACAGGGAATAGCAAAGTTATCTGCTTTTCTCCCCGCAAAAAAGGAGCAATAAGCTTGAGGGGTCAGTAAGCTCCTTCCACTGCCTTCCTCTGCTGCTTGTCATTCCAGAAGCCCAGTCAAAACCCCCTTTGCAAAAGCTACCTTTTTTTTTTTTTTTTTCCAAATCTCAGATCACCCAATAGGAGCTGCACTGCCATCTATGGAAAAGCTTCGGAAAAAGCATTTGGCATTTAGTATTTGTTGATACGAAGGAGGATGCAGTTTAAAGGACTAACAATACAACAGCACGGAAATGAAAATAAAAAGGCAAATTACACACTAACCACGACCAATTAGTCCCCATCTAATTCCTTGAATTGCTACTCAGCTACATTGCTTCTACTCACCCCAGCCTGTGCCACGGAAACTCCAGAACCCACGATCTGCTCTGGTGATTGCCCTGGAAACACTAAATCCAAGGGGCAGTCCGGCTGGCATTAGCTCCAGCACTCCAAACTCTTAAATCTGACTCTCATCAACTGGATTTTGACACACAGATACGAACTGCTTTTACCTCACCACACTAGAAACTGCATAATTTGATCACGTATCTCCCAGCAATCAAAACATGAGATGTGTTGACTAATCACAATAATTATTCTCTTTTTTTTTCTAACGTGTCCTTATACTCCTTGCTTGCAGAGAAAAGGAAAAACATGGAACAAAAGCTTACAGTAACCTACCCAAGAACCTAATTCTTCAGAAATAATGAATAACTGCATCAGAAATTCATCTGCATCTTCAGATTACAAACGATAATTGTTTAATCTTTAGGCTAAATAAATCAAATATATCATGATTTCTGCCAAAACCAACAAGCACAGGAAAGAAAAAAACACCAGAAAAACACCACTAAGAGGCAAGAAAACCCTTCAGAGCTACATTTTCCCCCTCAAAATCCAAGCTGACTGAAAATACATCTCTGCCTTGTATAAATAAATCAAGTATTATTGATGTTTTTCTCATTTAGATAAAAATTCACAGCACAGTAAGCACTGAAATTCTGAAGCATTAACAGGATCAAAATCAAAATGGGCGGCAGCAACACATGACTTTCCACATTCAACATCAAGCCTTACAACTTCTTCCTTTCTCTACCTCCTCAAAACCTAGTAAATACATTCTTTCAAGTTGACTCTAAAAAATATTTGATTTCAATAAAGAAAGAAAGAAACCAAAATAGTGAACATAAAAGCATTCTAATGTACCTCTGCTCTAGATGGCTTACAACAGCTTCTGTCAATCAGAAGATTGATCCAATATCATTTCACACACATGCACGAATTAATACATGGAGGTCACATATATCAAAACCCAGATATATGGTCCAAAAGCATGGTAAAAGAACCGTCTTCCACTTGTTTGTTAAACTACACAGTATGTATCAAAATATCTATATTTAAAACTTACCAAGGACAAAGTTTAAAAACCTCCCTCTTTTCCTGACATTTGTAGACGTGTTTGTGGATAAGGGTGCTTGTTTTTGCAGTGGCCTACATTAAACTTGGGTTTCTTCCCTATAAACACCAATAAAGCTACACAACTGATACTACAAAAGTCGCAAACTGCTTTTCTAAGCTGGTCACAGCTGCCACAAAAAGTTAATAACCACTGCTAAATTCTTCCAAGCCCTACATCCCAATATCATAATTTAAGACTAAGCAAACAATACCACAAGCAGCTAAAAATATATCAGGAATTCGTATGTAGTTACACACAAAGAAGGTAATTACACATCTATTTCCAATGTTCAGGAACAATCTCTACTGTTCTGCTCTTGGGTTGCAGCAAAGAACCTTACTAAAATTACAAATCAAAGCCTAAGTAGGTGCCACAAACCCTGGCCAAGTCTGAAAGGGGTATCTACATTACTAAATTGGCAATGGTGACACAGTATCTGAAACACACATTGATTATACCAAATAGGCTTTGCTAGATGTTCTGATTGTTAGTAATGTTTTATCATGTTAATAAAAACCAAGTCGCTTCATTCAAAAGTCTGTGCAGACAAAGGACAGGACAGACAGCAGTTTCCTCAGGCCCACCGAAATCCCAAGGCTGGCTCCCTGACCTCAGCTGGAGGATCACAGCACAGCAACTCTCCATCCCCCCCTCAGACTGAATGAGGTTTCCTGCAGACCAGCTTCAAGTTTAACAACAAGCAAAAGGTTGTGATGTATCTTATGTATCACAGCTGAGATGCACATAGTCCTGCTACAGCCAGGTATCTACCTGAAAGACTCTATGCTTGAAAAATCTGAGAAATCAAAAATCATCTTCAGTTCCCAGAGGCCCTCTAAAAGCACGGTACAGAAACAACACAGTCAAGAAGTTAGAGAGGCAATAGCTACTTTCTTGCTTTCTCACTCCTATGTTTAGAGATTGGTAGGAGATATTTAACCTATCATTTGCAGAAATTAAATTCTTTTATTTGTGAGTACTACTATGAGATTGCATATGGAGTGACCTGTTTTGTCCTTACTTTAGAGAAAAAAATGTATGTTAACAGCCTAATCAAGGTCACCAGTCCAGAAACAGGAGTTCCCAGACAGTAAGTTTCAAAAAGCTATCAAGTAGAGAGGACAGAGGAAACAATTATCAAATAAAAAAATGCATCAATATTTTAAAAATACACTTAATAAGCAATAAACTCAACCCACTATAATCATTCAAGTTATGTATATAAATACATACTATGCTGTTCATTTCCGAAGAGTCGTAACTTCCACATGGATGGACGCTTCCTATAGGTTCCAACCCTTCTTCATCCCACATGTACGTGCCATCAGAGCTGTCAGATGGAGAAAGCTCAAAAGAGGACCCAGCTCTATAGTTCATCTCTGAAGAAATGACATTCTCGGTAGTATGTTTTGTGCTTTCGCTGTTGTCATCCACTGCTTAAAGAGAACGGGAACAGTTAAGGTTCCAAAAACAATCCAATATTAAAAAAATAAATGTTAAAATGCGTACTACTGGTGTGTAAACTTTTCTGAAACCATACTGTAACAGAATACCTGAAAGCCTCCTACAGTACTGTTCCCTTATCCCAGAGGGGAGAAATGCTCAAGTTGGTTTGGTAGCTACAACTAAGTAGTCCTCCAACCTACATCTTTGTGAAACTTTTATGCTGCCCCAATTCACCCACAGTGAAAGCTACTTTCTAGAATTCTGTATCTCTTTAACATACTAGAAGGTGGGTCCAAAAATATATGCTTTGGATCTAGTCTTTCAATTGCAACATCTCTCAAAACACAGTTTTATCATGAGAAGCCCAAAGACTTGAAATTGTGGCTTTCAAAAACATATTCTCATGTCTTCAGCTCAGGTTTAAATAATCAACACAGCATACACCAGGAAAAACAGAAAAACCAGCAACATTCCAATTTACAATTCAACTTATTTAATTAGACAACCTACACTTATTTACACCACTTAGAAGCAGTTACAGCTGCTCTCTGCCTACAGAGACGCAGGGAGGAGGAGTTGGAATTTCCTCAAAATATCACCATCCCAGAAAAAATGAATGGCAAAGCGAGGATACAAGGAATCCCACAACCACATCACAAACACGTTTAAAGGAGGTAACCTTCATTCTTATCACAAAGACAAAGAGCTCTAATGCTTGGGAAAGAACTACTATGCAGAAAAGGTGTAAGAAAACAAATATGCCAGCATAGAGCCAAACTGTGTTCTGAAACAATCCACAAGCAATGGGCAATTACATTAAATAACTACTGTCAGAGAATTTTGACTTAGTACCTAAAATTTCAAACAGAACATAAAGAAAAAAAAGTATTTACCAGACACATTTATATCAAGCCAGTCATCAGCATTACAGCGAGATCCTCCACTTTCCTTGAGAGACGTGAACGGCTCAATGGACGTGATACTCCCGTGCTCTAATTCCTGAAGGCAGCTCTCCTTCTGCTGTATTTGTATAGTTCTGTTTGCATCTTCTATATCTATGAAGTCATCACTGAAATCTTCACTCAAATCATTCTTTTCAGAGGACGACAAAGAAGATATAGATATTTCATCTCCGTCGTCGCTCATACACATGACTTTGGACCCATGTTTCCCCAGACTTTCATGCAGGCCCTCATCAGATCCTGTTCTTTGAGCACTGCACTCTATAATACTGTTTTTCTCAACTGCCCTGTTAATATTTGTTGAAATTTCAGAGCTCTCCACGGTGTGTGTGTCAGGAGAGGTACTTTTGCTGCCATCCACAGCAGTATTCCCAGCAAACCGCTGCCTGGTAGGCTTGAGCAGAGAAGGACGACTTAATCTGTATCCAAAGGAAGGTGCTGACCCAGATCCATTTGACAGTGGGGGTTTCTTGGAACAAGGAGCTGACACACCGGAGTACGGTCTGGTAAACCCATACTTCATCGGTTCATTTCCATTGGGTACATCCAACTGACACGCGTTCCTTGACAGCAAAGTAGACCTCTGAGACGTCCTGGCAGCCACATTTTGACTATGATAAGGCCTTGTAAGATCCACAGCTTTATTAAAGGAATGTGACCTGGTTAGAGATGCAGTGGGAAGGAAAGAATTCTGAATGGAATGTGAGAAACTTTGGGATCTTACCATTTTTTCACAGGAAAAAGCCTTGCTATTGTCTGTAGATTGCGCTAGGCTTTCTCCTGAACTTATCCTTGTGGCACTGGAATTTGCTCTAGGTCTCTGCAAACCTACCACCGGCCTATTTCCATAAAATCCATTTAAATTTGATCTTGGAGCATTGAGCCCAGAATATGAGGTCCTTCCTGACAGGGTACCTTTGGTGAATTTAGCTGAACTAGAGAGTCCGGGTAAAGACTTTGGGTTTAACTCCTCGGTAGAAGATACAAACATATTGGTTGGCTTTGCTGCTTTTGATGCAACCGAAGCGGGACTGTTCAAACCCACCCTGAGCTCATCATTGCCCAATGCTCCTTGAGATTGAGGATACTTCTCAGAATCGATTAATTTTTCGCTGCAGTTGCGTTTAGAGTTGGCCTCTCTCCCGTTTTGATCGTTAAGCTGACATCTGTTAGATTTTTTCCAGTTGAAAGAGAAGGAAGACATGCGGACAGTGCCATTGTGCTTGCCGAAATTTTTGCCCCCATTACTCCCTGCTAAGTTGACGGCCGTCCCGTTGGGCACAGGTTGCAAGACGCTCCCTAAAGTTTTCGTTCCATATTTCGGTAGCCTGGAAACCAAGGATGTCCTGGTCGGGTTTTTTTCTTCCATGAGCTATTGGGTTCATTGGTCCTTAAAGGGTGCTTGAATCTGAGAAGAAAAAAATAAAACAAAACAAACATCAAACCTGGAGTAACCACACATTAAACAACACAGTTTTATATACATCTGCATCTGTGTGCTTCCTACATTCCTGTGCCTAACTGTACCATGGGGATAAAAAGTAACCCGTACACATTTTGTGAACTCCAGAGAAATATCTGCCACCAGAAGTTATTTGGAAGTTATATGTTCTTCAGGTCACAGTTCCCTCCCCCAGCTTTCCTTCTCTACATAAACTGCCTTTTCTTTTCCTTCCTTTTGAAATCTACAAAATAAACTTAAAAAGGGGTTAGGTTTAGTTTTTTGGTTCGTTTTTTTTTTTTTTCCTTTTACCCATTTTGACCAGCAAACTGAAAGAGAACTTTTCAACTGTGTTAGTTATTAAATTACGAACTTTGATATCTAGTTTTTTTTTTTTTTAAAAAGCCACAAATATACGTAGCATAAACCTGTGGTCAGCAATGTAAACCTGCAAAAATAAAATCAGACTGAAAGCTAATCTTTTGAGATTATTTTCTCTTTCCCCAATGTCTATGTTACAACACAGGAAATAATCACTCATCATATACCCTCACCACAAAAATTTCTTTCCAGACCTTACTGATATCCCCAAATCAAGATTAACATTCCTAGCCAATTTTTTTCCCCCTCTTTGTATAGAAACTGTAGTCTGCTTTGGAAATCTACTTATTCATGTACAAGACTTGAAGTACAGGGCAACAGTTGCACGAGGTCAGTGTGAGTGAGTGTATTCCAGAGTTTGACTTCTGTGCAGACATGCACTAACACAAAATCCCAGCTAACAAAGTGTGAGATAAAAAGATCCTCGAAGAATTCACGCATTCCCTTGTATCTTGAATTTTGCTTCCATCCACCTGATTTGGAATACTACACTCTTTAACTGAAGATTTGTTATATCTCAATTTACAGTCATTTGGTCTATTTTATATCAAGCTTATTTTATAAAGCCATTTCTGCTTCAAAGACATATCGTTGCCTCAAAAACTTTTGCCTTGAGAAAGAATTGTGATCTCCTTGCTTTTGACATACTTTTTGTTTCTTCCCCACTCACGAACATTTCAAGCCCATGGTTTGGATAACTAACTATGCCTGTACACCCTTTTGTACAGCACTGGTCTGCTGGTTTGCCTGACTCTACAATACAATCCTGTCTAAATGCTATTATTAAAGGCTTGTAATTCCGACACCACCACCTTGAGAAGTCTCCAAGTTTCAGTGTTGCAACTTAAGACACGTTGTACCCTTTTGTTAAATTCTGTATTTGCAAGAACAGGTTCCTGGGGTTTTTTTCAAGAGAGTTGTAAAAGGATATCTTGTCTTTGCTTAGCCTGGATTTTGTTTTTATCAGTTCCAACCACTGGTCTCACAATGACGTAAAGACAGAATTTCAGTAATCCATACGTTATTCCCTGAAACCATAACCCATATTTTTCTTTTCCCAGACCCATACATGTCTGGCAGACTGCAGAAAAAACAAAATTTTTTAAACCATGGCAATCACTATTAGAACCAACACACAGCAAGTAACATTATACTTATTCAAAGTACAGAAATTATCTTGTGTAACCACAGCAAGCATCACCTTAAAGTGAGTCACTCCCCAAGCTGCAAGACCTCAATAACAAACACTTTAGATAAAATCAAGGTGGCATTAAATTCATGCAAACTGAAGTGCCCTTAGGATTTTGTCAGTGAATAGGATGCCCTGGAGCATCACTTCTGGAAGGAGATTTACATTACAAAGATAGAAAGAGAAATGTACTGGAGACATGGCTTTTAGGGGCTCCTAACTTGTGAAAACATCAGAATCCACACCCTACAACTGGTAGGGCTTTTCTATTTTCTAATACACAAATCCTGAGTTTTAAAATACTCAGGGAATCCTTGCACATCAGAGACAAAACCTTCACCCAGCTGTATAAAGAAGCACATGATTCCATCCCCTCCACCCCGAAACAGCAGAACATTTTATTTATCACATATAATACCTGGCTCTATGTGGATTTAGATGACTAATGTTAGATTTTTGCCTACAGTGTACCTGCACACTTGGCAAAGGAAAATATCATTATGCTTTAACACCAAGTGTCAAAGATATTTACTTTACGTCAACTATATATAGTAAAGGCAACAAAGTAGACTTTTTTTTTTTTTTAATAAATCCATGAACAAAAAATGGCCTTTAGCATCCGGATGAATTCATTCCCACTAAACATCAGAATCCTCAGATCCCTCAGAAGATAACCCAACTCAAAAGAAAAGGCAAGTCTTGTAAAGAAGTCTTCCAAATTAAAAAAGTTAAATTAGGAAGCTGCTAATTTAACTTTCATGCTTTATGGATAATTCCCTTTTCACATCTGTCTACCATCTCTTAGGTGACTGCAAAATTTAAATGAGGCCATTTAATTAGATTACTTTAATCCACCACCAAGTGCTGCAAATTAAACTTGAAAAGGAGACTTTTCAGTTCTCTAGGAAGGGTGCTTGCTCATTTATCCTTGATTAGGTAAAGACAGCACATTAGCTTCAAGAAAACTGACTGCTTAAAACACTTCAGATAATTAAATTAACAGACAAACAATACTGTCTGTATTTTATTAGCTACTTAACTGTAACTACTGTGCCACCTTTTCAAATTTGGGGTACATTTGTTTTGTTGAAATACAATGCCATAAACAAACACCAAAACTTAACAGTATCACGTCTGGCAGATTTTTCCCAGAAAATGGGAAACTAAGTTCTCAAAAATATCACTAATCTTGACATATATTTACTGCTAAAGATTACAGTGTCCTAACAAAGAAACGCCCTTATCAAGCACCACAGTACCTGCAAGTTATAGCATGATTCTTGCATCCCAAAAAATTCAGGTTCAGTGTAATTTAAATTGTAGTCTGCTGTACTATAAAGAAATTCAAACTATTTTTAGACTTAAGTAATCTATGGATTTTTTAAAACAGACATTTGGGCAAATAAGTTTTATATTCTTTGCCTTGGGAAATATATTATCTGGTGCACACAAGCCTAATCAGGAATTAAGCTAATTATAAAGAGCCTAGCCTTACATAATGATCTAGGGAAAAGGAATTAAAACCCACAGACCCTCTCTGAAGTATAATCTGAATTAACTGAAAAGCTGCTACATCCTTACCTTCAAGGATACTCAAGATCCTGGTGATAAGCAAAAGGATATTCATCCTCACTCTCCTTTGTACTTTCTCTATAGGATTATTTACACCTCAACAAAATCCTCCACCATTAGTTTCAACTAGAAAGCAACATATTGACTCTTACTTCATTCACAGTTTGTTTCAACACCCCCAGGAAGGCAGTTTCCTATACATTAGCTTCTCAGCTAAGTTCAGCTTTGCATCTGAGACTCTGCCCTACATGTTGTGGAATGATTGTTACAGTAGAAGGCAGCTTAAGGTTCATACATTTCAAAGTCTGGGCTCCTTGAAACGTTGTGATCCCCACGACCCACACCACCAGAAAGCTAACAGCATTTTCAAGTTCCAGATTGCCATCAGTGGGACCGAATTCTCCTCCTATTGTCACAGCAGTGTGGAATATACAGCTGCTGGATGAGGCATAACTGACAGACTGGTGACAGGCGAGACCAATTCCACTCTGCAGACCCATTGCTAGGCCAACAGCTCCAGATTTATGCTTTCTTCACATGAGTTTAAGTGCACACGCATTTCAGCTCTGTCCTGTGCATGACTAACAAAAACACCTCTCTGTACATCTCTGGGTTTTAGCACCACAGCTTCTTGTTTATGTATTTGTTTTTCTATTCAGGACACACAGTGTGAAGATCTTTTCATCACTGATTTTCTGGTGAAATTTAAGCACACCTTAAGAACTATTTTTCTTAAAAATGTAATTAAAAATGCATTAGGGCAGCTTTGTGAATATATCATATTTCCACAAGTGCAGGGAGGTATTGAATGTCGTAAGGGAAAAATCAGGGAGGCCCCTGCAACAGATGCGGCCAAAGGCTTCTTTATCACATACTTAAGAACATTGTAAGATAGGGAGCATGGAGCAGTTTTAGCTTTAAGAGAAGCATGGGAGCTCAGGAGAATGGAAGAAACTGGCAGGAGATCTGCCTAGCAAACAAACAACTGCTCTGAGCAGGACAAGCATTGGGAAATCAAGGATCGTGAGTCCTGAGGAAGTTCTGCATGTTGTATGAACAACACTGAATCAGAATGCAACTAGAAATTCTGATGGCTCCAAGACTGAACTCTGAGTATTTACAACTGTCATATATTTTATGTTGTTTACCCAGCACAGACTGTTTTCAGTTCAGTCAAAAGAGCCGCTTCTTCTCAACTGTAAGATCCAGTAAAATTTAGCAGCTCTGCAGTAAAATCCTCCAACCCTGCCTTACTTCTCTCTTCACTTTCTCCAAAACACCTCTTGTCTCGAATCAATGCCCAATGCTTTAAGAAGGCACCCATAAATTTTAGCCTCTCTCCCTTTCCTGTGTCCAAGCTGCAGTGGTTAACACCAGCTTCCTTGACAGTCTGCTTTCTGAAGGTACCATTGCATGAAGCACGGCAAAAAATTCCAAGACACTCAAGTGCTTATTGTTCTATTTCTCTGCAATCAGCTTGCTCTTCTGTGTCTGAAGTTGTGAGATTCTGTTTTCAGATCTCAAGACAGTTTAGAGGCAAGTCCTTTTCTGTTCTTCCTCCCTCAAGCTTATGATGTTCTACCCACTTGTAAGGGTAGATCTATCAAAAAGCAAGCAAACCAGTTATCCAAGCTGCTCTTGTGCTGAATTTTACTTACTGTCAGTCAGAATGCACTAGGACAAAGAACATGATAATGAATAGAGATAAAGGGAGAAGGCAAGGAATACATCATGAAGCGATTGAGGTTTCTGTATTTCTAATATTGAACAATATTGAGCAAAAAATGTGACATCTCTTGCCATCTTTAAAGGCATTGTTGGTATT